AATTGTTGAGGCCATGTCAAACACGAAAAGGAAGCTAATTACATGTGTTTAATGCGGCTGATACTGTTATAAAACCATAGTTTTTAGACTCGATCTGGTTCAAGGCTCAGGTTCTAGATTTTTATTGGGTTATCAGGTCGATTAATTTTTTTAAAATTAAAACAATTTCATTTTAGTGAAAAAAAAAATCAACAGGTTGCAACCGGGTTTTTGACTGGGTCTTATCAAGTCAACTAGGTCATCGAGTTAACCGGGTCAACCAGGTCACACCGAATTTTTTCTTTTCCTATATTTTGTTTTAACTCATTCATGTTCCAGCTCCAGACGGGTCGGATTTCAAAACTATGTGTAAAACTCATTTTTAAAAGTGTTTTTATAATTTAAAGATATATTAAAATATTTGTTTTATTTTTTATTTTAGCACATTAAAATCAATATAAAGAATTGAGAACATATTTTTTTTATTTTTTAAAATTTATTTTTAATATTAATATATCAAAATGATTTAAAAACATGATAAAAAATTCATTTAAAGCAAAAAAAATTATTTTTTTGACAAAAACATAACCTAGCCACATTGCCAAATATAATGTTTTTTCAAATAAAACTAGTCTAAAAACATAAGCTATTAAACTCCTAAACACTTAAAAAATTAAACATGCTCACCCATTAAAGTTATTGAGAAAATCTCATCAAGTGGTCATTAAAATTAACAACAATGTTAAATAATAATTAATTGTTTAATAAAACCCTAAAATCTTGAAGATTTTTAAATAGTTAAAAAGGTAAATTCAAATTGTTCATATAAAACTTTAAAAACATGTGCATCCATTTGAGAGAGAATTTGTAAAAACTATAATGATTCAAACTTTATTTTCATAAAATATTCATAACTATAAATTTGTTTTTTAAAAAAAAACAGCTTAGTAGCTCACATATAATAATTAAAAAAACAATTGCTAATGTTATAAATAAAAATACAACAATTTTATTTGAAAATAAATAATAAATTAAACCATATCTAATGAAATAATATCTTAAATATAATTTTAATTATTTTATTATAAAAATTTTTAATTGTATCATTTGATTGCAAACAGAGTATATATGATCGTTTCATTCTTTCTTTTCTTATTAATTTTTTTCTTTTTACAAAAAAATATTTTTTTTGCTACATGTTTTATTTGATAAAAAGAAAAAATCATTTAGAATAAATATATATAAAAATTAAACAATCATAAATAAGGATAAAAGGGTATTTTAGTTAAAATCCCTGTATCTTATTAATATATTTCTCTTTTTTCTTGGAATTGTTTTCACCAGATTATTTATTTTTTTTTATAAAAGAAGCTTATAGAATTATAGCAACAAGTTTTATTAAAAAGATGTGTTTGATAATCTTGATATAAATATATTAAAAAAATATATAAAACTAATAAATTTTTCATGCAATGTAATGTAATAGAGAATTTCTTAGAATTTTTTTATTTAATTATACGATAATAAAAAAATATATACTAAAATAAGTTAACAAATAAAATTTAATGAACGGTTGTACAATAACAACAATATCTAATATTATGAAAAGAAATTTATAATTTTATTCAAAAACTAAATAAAAATAGAATGATATTTACTAAGATAATATCCTTAACATAATTTTAATTGATTAATTTTAATAAAAATTAAAGAAAAATAACCTTAAAAGTTTTACTATATTAATTATATTTTTCAATATTATGTTAAAATTTCAGGAGGAGTCTTTTTATATATTACTATATTTTAGATTAAAATTTTAGTATAATAGAAGTTGAGAAAAGTATTGCAAGACTTCCAAAGGTATTTTTTAAATTTTGTTTGAATTCATAATTTTGTTTTAAAAAAGTCATTTTATTGTATTTTTTTAGATTGAATTTTTTGTAATTTTGTCATTCAACAATGGATTTATTATTAATTGAGTTTCATAATTTATTTTATTTAGAATTATTATGTTCTTTTGATTCATGTTATAAATTTAGAAAGTTAATTCCAAATAACTTGAATCAATTTAATATATTGTCATCATAATATTTTTTTTAAAATATTATCATAAATTTTCTTTGAGTAAAAACAATATTTTTATTAGCTATCAGGTTATTTTTGAACTTGTCGAGTTAATCAAGTTATATCAGTGCAACTCTAATTTTTTTATTTATATTTAAAATTTAAATTCAAGTTAATTTATTTAAGATTTAAATTAAAATTATATTTACTGAGTTAATATTTATTAATTTTATATATATAGTACAATCATAAAATATCGTACCAAAACATTTCAAAACCAAAATATATCGTTATAATTGAAAAAACACAACTAAAAAGACCAAATAGAATTGACAACCTTGGTGATTACACAGAAAACACGTAACATGCACACCAATTAAAATGATAAGAGTGGAAACTAGTATTGAAACACATGAATAGAAAACTAATTAAAGAGTCTGGAGAAATCTCATCACAATCATAGCCTCATAGGGAATAAAGCTCTGATGGAAGCCGAGGCTCCAGAACAGCAACAAGCGGGACTTTTCTGGGTGCAGAAAGCCCAAAAATTTCCTCCATGTTCAAGTCCTTGGCTGTCATGTTATCAGGCAATTTCCATTTGAAACCGTGCAAAAGATTTGCCACACTTGTTTGAATCACTTTTAACCCTAGAGGATACCCTGGACATATCCTCCTTCCAGCTCCAAATGGTAACAGCTCGAAATCATGACCTTTAACATCAACACTCTTACCGATGAATCTCTCGGGACAAAATTCTTTTGGTTTGTCCCAGATGCTTGGATCCCTCCCTATAGCTGAAGCATTTACAAGAACACGAGTGCCTTTAGGAATATCATAACCAGCAATTTGAATATCTTCACGAGCGAGTCTGGGCACAAGTAATGGTGCCACTGGATGCAAACGCATAGTCTCCTTCACAATTGCATTAATAAATGGTAAATTATCAATGTCATTCTCTTGTACCCATCTCTCTCTCCCGATTACTCTATCTAACTCTTCTGTTGCCTTGTCAAAAATCTCTGGTTTTTTCATGATTTCAGCCAATGCCCATTCGGTTGTCACTGCTGAGCTCTCGGTTCCACCATTAATCAAGTCCTGAAGATTAACTGATTACTTTACGTAAGAAATAAATTAGATAAAGCAAAAGATTGACTTTTGCGACCAATGATATATAGCTTATTAAAAAACAAAAAATAGTAGGTACCCTTTTGTTTTTTTTTATTCTTAATTTCCTTTTGTGCCACTCTAAATTTTTAACTAGTACCACTTGCATCTTTTTATAAGAAGACAACAAGGATCCACTACGTGGGAAAAAAAATAAATTCAAAAGCATACATATATATCCAACGGCACAATTGGTTTTTTCATTTACATATATTTTTTTAAAATATATTTTTTAATGTTTTTGATAGTTTTGATTTGGTAATATAGAAAAAAAATGAAATCTAAAAAAAATATTTTAATGCATTTTCAAGTTAATTAAAAATACTTTCAAAAAATACAATATTTATCACACATGTTAAGTACTAATAATATATATTCCTCCAATAATTTCTTAATGCAATCCCGTTATTTATGATATCATGGAAAATGATGGGGCACTTGAAACTTTGAAAATGCTTAAGACGTAGTAATACTTGCAAACTTCTAATGGCAAGTTTTTCTCGTGATACATCAACCCTTCTACAATCATGCATGCGCCAAGGTTCTACCTGCCCCATGATGTGTTATGGAGTAAAATGGTGTCTCTCTGTCCCTACTTAAGATATAGCTTCAGTATATTATACTGTAAAATTTGTATAGTCTGATTACTTGACCACCTCTCTATCTCTAT